TATCAGCATTAATCCCATCGTTTATTATTATGACGGCTGTTATTATCGTCGCTTTAGAGGGCACACATTTGCTTCAGCAATTCTTAGAATATTCTGACGAGCGTTTTTGACATGCTTATCGATGATGTCGATAATTTGAGCGTTTTATGAGCATTCTCTTAATCTGTTCACCACTTCAAAATTCAAAAGTGCAATTTATGCGAAAGTGAACACCGAATGGATCTAAACATGAGTGATGCAGGCAAAACGAACACTATCAACAACATTATCAAAAAACACAATCGAGAAACAACAACAGATTGAAGTCATCTCGTCTTACAACAACAACCTTCGTGATAACGACAATGCAAGACGAAAGCTCAATCACTTATGGACAAGACAAGATTATTTTAGTTACGTGGACATATGATACGTAAATGCATCTGTGTTCAATGAATCAAAATTACCTCGCTCATAATCCATCTAGAAGCACGATTCACATTCATTCGTCATATTCATTCATTTTATGTAAACAATCGTTTTTCGGTCACAACAAATTTATTTGCAACGTTATCATCAACATTCACACTCGTTCGTCATTCATTGTTATAATCGTGAAAGCAATACACACTTCCTCTTACTTATTTCTCCTCTTAAGAAGTGAAATACCATCTTGATAAACTAATCAATCATTACCTAATATTGTACTGCACATACACGCAAACATTCGAAAGGAACATAGATAGATAGATACTTTCTTAGATGTTATTTGCTGGTTAATCACAACTGCGTATCAATTACAGCAAACTAAATGTAATTGCGATGAAAAGCTGAAAACTTCGAAAACTTTCAAATAATACATACTCCCATGTGCGTGTTGCCTGACTCATCTAGAAGCATGAATTACTTATGCACAAATACTTATTGTCGTGTACAATCTGACTGCGACCATGTGCTCGCTCAATTCACCCGTTCACTCGTCAAACCCTCTTCGCAATATTTCAAAAAGCAGCCTGTTTACAGATTCACCACACGAAACGAATGCTCTTTTAATCGCCGCAAAATGTTTGCAGTTTTCGGTGACATGCATGCATCTGCTGTCAATTTACTCGCTCTATTTATGTTAAGTATCAACTTGTTTTTGCCATTTGATCGATGAAATCGTAAACTAATTTTCAGTGGTGATTGGTTTATCGAGGGAGGTGTTGCATGGATTAATTCCTATAGAAGTACTCGCTCGCATGTATCCCATAAGATATAAATACGTGAAGTGAATTCTTCTCAGTTCAGCGATTAAATTACACGAATCGGTTCACTATTTATCTGTGAATCTATCCATTCGACCATCTGTCCAACTAACTAATTAACAACTAACATGTAACCGAATTTCCAAGAACACTGATGCTTTCCATACTGAATTCATCGATAAATGCACTTTCGGACATGATTAAATCTACCCTATCTATCTTAGTCCGTTGCTGCACTCTGTTCCTTTCTTATCTCCACACATCCATATTCTGACAACTCGGTGCACAGCGTCATCGTCATCTTTCACGTCCAAACAAAATTTGTATAATCGATGAACACGTTCTGATTCTAGTTGGATTCCATTGCCGTTTGCAGATGGTAACATGTACCCACCATTCATATATACTCACTTCAAACAACGTATCTGCATGACATGTTCTACACAAGCTTTTCAATGTGTACACAGCATGCTTGTTTCGGGGTGTGTGTTGTTACTGCGTTCAAATTCTATCAACTAAACAAAACTACCCAACTAGTTTAAGCCGTACCAAAAGTACTTTCATTTAAATAATGCTCTGCTGTTGAGAACAGAAGAAACGAAACAACTCCGTTATGTTACTTGTAACTCTAAAAAGAGAACTGAGACTTAAGCACAATGAGGAAAATTTTGGCCATTTTTGCAAATTGAAGTTTTATTTTGAATCTTTTTCTGGTTCAAATGATCACATGCCGAACTGTGATGGGTAAGATGAAGCTCGTGGTAATGAAAACGAAAGAAGTATTGAAGACGGTCGAAGACAATCAGAACAATTCAATTGAGTGATTACGACTGATCAGTTGCTTACAATCACTATAAACAATTGATCGTTAACATTTCACTTTCGTCATGTCATTCCCAGCGGTCACGAATGATTAGTACTATGAAATAGTAGTAAATTGAATTGCTTTGATCAAGGCTGGCAAGAGATATCAAGTTGTATCTAGTGAATGCAACCCTTTTGGAAAACATAAATTTAGATCGTTTCTCATCTCTCGTTTCTCGTTTCTCATTCATTCAACTTTCACATTTATACAAAAACACTACTGCCAAAACATTACTGAGTATGACAACGATAATACTAAAAATAACAATATAGTAAAAATAATAAAGATAGAAATAGAGATAATAATCAGAGAAAAGTACTTTTGATAGGACTTTATTTAACACCGACCACAACATGATGCACTTTACATATAAATGCACGCCTTTAGCACACCAGCACACACAGCCTACTACCATCCGAATATTCTTCATTCTTTATTTTGTGTTCGTCAATCGGTATCGTTCAGCCAGCCAACCGACCGACTAACATCCATCCTTTGAACTCTTTCAAAACACCAATATCTCATCCCCTTTCCATTGCTTCACATCGCAACGAATCGATTCTGCAGCGCGAACGAACGCATTGCAATGCATTACTGCGTTCCTTTTTTATTTTTTTCATTCTACTAATTCCACTCTGACGCATTGAAATTCGATCGTTTTTTGCGCATTTACTATGTATCAAATTTACATTTTCAGTTCATCAGTAAACCATCAGATTAATCCTTACGAGCACTGATATGTCCCGCTCATTGTACCGTATCATGTGATCATTGTGCATTTGAAGTATGAAATGCGACTTGCAGATATCGTAATCAGCACCCTGAAACGTCGTGCGTGCACCTCTAATGTTCAGCTTGACTTGTATTGGCCACGAAACTACCGTAATCAACGTCAAATAGCGAACTGAACTACAGTACTCTGACATTCAATCGTGTTCAGCAATCACTAGTCTTGATCAGCAATCTGAATAGTTCTGAATTCAGGCAGTGTATTGGCACAGTTATCATTCAGCACTGCATTTTGCATTCCACTGCTTGAATAGTAAAGTTACCAATGAAGCGCTCGAGGTATTGAAGATTCACTTGATATAAACACAAACGAATATCTTTATATCCATCGCTTCACCACTTCCAAATGACTTCAATAAACACCCGACCAGATGATCATCACCCATCAAAAAATTTCACCAGTGATCCACTCTCACCTCCAACATTTGGCTTAGATCCACCGAACATCGCATCGCCAAGTAAATCATTTCATTTATGATCTATACCTATCAAAGTTCAATCAATGTTCAATGAAACAATGAATTTTCTGTTTGAAATTGCATGCCTAATCGGTTCACCCGTTTCCTTCCACTCAGTGAGGTGACATCCAAAAGATTCGAAGAGACTTGAAATTGATTCGATAAGCTTTCATAAATCTCGACCTATTTGTGAGTGTTCGATATCAGATCGGCATCCGTGTTCCTCTTCAAAATGTGATATCAGTCGACGGATTTCTTTTAAAAAAATTTTCTTCATTCTTACTATTTGATCTCATATCACACTCGTCGCTATATTCTATGCGATTTGGAAACGTTCTCAGTTGTGATGGTTATAATGATAATTTTTACAAAACAGTACTGACCAATCTGTATTGAAAGGAATCTTTCATTTCATCGTCATTGATAATGCAGTCATTAGTATTTTAATTCTTCCATTAACATTTTGAAGAAATCTTGTATTGCACTCTAGAATCAGCGCAATCATCAGACTCGTCACAGTTTCATCGTGATCGTATGAGTTCGGTCAGTGATGTTGAAATTTCCCTCTCACCGAAACCATCAATTGGTTCGTTTTGAATTGTTTCAAATTCAGATTGCCGTTATGAACGTCGAATAATGCATACTATTCCATGCAGTTCTGTGTCTTGTTTTATATCATTGCGGTCATTCTTCGAACGTAACATTTTATGAGTCGTTTATGATAATGGGAATGATTCTGCTGAATGAGCTGTGAATTGCTTGAAATTTAACTGAAACGGAATTAATTATGATGAAGCGAAATGACATTGAACGAACATTTCCGTCATCACCGAATGAAAAACGTTCTGTATGGAATGTTAACAGACCGAATGTGAATAGAACATCGTCCCTTTTGCTCTGCAATACTCTCTGGTAATGATGATGACAGCCAACCAAAACAACAAGCGAAAAAAGATTCGGCGAAGAAATGAGAGAGGGAAAGAAACATTTGCATCCGTTGTCATCGGTTTTTTTATGTGAACATTCGAATCAATCTCACCGTCGAAATCAATTTGAATGTTGTACACTCCATCTATGTATTATAATTGGACAACCTGTGACCTGCTGGGCAGCTAAGAAATGACCATATTGAGCCCTTTCGGGGTTCGTCGACCGACCGGGTTGGAGATATCCATATAATGACTGGGTAACCTGATGGGTGGGAGACATCATGTAGGTTGTTTATAAACCCACTAGTTACAAACTTTCATCATGTTCATCTCTTTGGCCTGGTCTATGATAGAGGTTACGTTAGCTAGCTGTACTAGAAATTTTGATGCGGCTGCTCGTTGCCTATCGATTAGTTTTTGACCCAGAATCGCTATCAGTGCTGATTTATGTGGAGGTGTCACAGCAACTAACCAATAATTCATTGAGTTATTATTGATATCACTATCACTACCAAGATATCATTACTACCATGACTAACAACTATGTCTCAAAGATACGCACTATAGCATCCATTCAAGTACGCAATCGGAATCACGATCTATGCCTCATTCTTCCTCATCCCTCTGACTATCCTGTGAGACTGCGGTGTAATTTAATCGCCACCAGACGTCAAACCGCTGCACCCTGACCTTCCTGTTGAAACTCGCTCCTTTCACAGAGTGTAACGAAGACATGCAAGCAAGTACTGAAGTGCAAAGTCTTTCTATAATAAATAATAACGATGAACGAATGCAATTAGATAATGGTAACTCGAGTGAAGCGCACCCAAAAGCAGCAGCAGCAGCAGGGTATTCCAGCTCGTTGGCATCAACGTCCTCATCAATGCATCAGCAATCAAACGAATCACGTAAACGATCCTCTTCATACGGCAATACCAGCACCAATAATGATACTAATTCATCACTAACTGATAAAAGAATCGCAACAAAAATCTGTCGAGTGTGTGGCGATAAAGCGTATAGTTACAATTTTAACGTCATCACTTGCGAATCTTGTAAAGCTTTCTTCAGACGTAACGCCAATAAACATAAAGTTAGTTCTTCATATCATTAAAATATCCATTTTCTTGTTTTTAATGCCATTATTATGAATCCCTCTTTATTAGAGCCATTCTGCCAGTATTGCTGTGCTCATTTTTTAATTTCATACTTTGATTAATTTTAAATCAGTAGATCATTTTACGTCCCGCTTCAGTTACAATAATTGTTATCTTCAACTCAATATTCAAATACCTATCGCTCTTATCAACCAATTCATCACCTTTTGTTGTTTGCATTTCAGTCCTCACTATTAGACTAGGTTCAACAAGGTAATTGATCATTTCCAAATATCCTGAACTTTTCAAGTGTTCCTCCTAAGTGGTGTTTATGAATAATCTATTCTTTTCAGTCGTCCACGAATATTTCTTTTCATTTCTGTTTCGCACATTAGCAATCTTTAGAAAGGGCACGAGTTTGTTGTTTAAGCTTGTTCAGAATACCACTCATCGCAAGTCATTCAAAGTAACTGAATTGAAACTGTTTAACATCATTAATCATCGGTGCATATGATGCTGAAAATTAGTTGAAATTAATGCTTGCATAAACAGAGGAATGGATATATGCATTGAATTGATGTTGCGAACGATTTTGCGTTAGTTTAGGTGGATGTTAGCTTGTAGTGAACGCTGTGTGATTTGTTGTAAGGAGGGTACGTGTTCTGAATAATGTTCAAGTAAGAAAGAATGGTTGGCGTGAAGACGATTTTGCATTAACGAAGCATGAGTACAACGGTCGAAGTATAGCGACTGAACGTTTGAAAAGCGATTTTTTTGTAAACAGAATCGAGCAGGTGCGCTCTTTAGTTATTGTTTGGTCATCGATTTCAAATCGTCATCCGATTAGATTTATCTATCCTCTACTTCGTATTGTGTAGCAAATAGCTTTTTGCTTTTCGGGTTACGGCTCAATTGTATTTCCAATACCTTTCATGTAGTTTTAAGCAGTCGGTGGGATCTTTTTTTGCGACAGTTTCAATCGACTGAAATGAACATTCGAGAAATGATTTAGGTCAGAGCCACAGCCAGGTGCTGAGACTTGAAAAGGCTGCTTGCAACGTCGGCGGAGAAATATTAACTGCTCCATTTAAGAGGCATTCTGTACTGGTTTAATTTTATTTATTAGTTGATTTTGTGAAATTTTGAGCGATGTGCTTTGAATTTTGGAGGGGAAACCATCGCATTCCGGTGGCTAAAGGCTTGAATCAGGATTGTGAATGTCTAATGTGGTTTATTTTTTGTCCATATTGAGGCGCTAACATCGCAACATGCATCAGTTCTTATAATTGATATGAAGAAGACATAAGTGAATTAGAGCGACTAGTGAAAACTGATAGTGAGTGTAGTGTTATAAATGAAGTGAACGGGTTGATGCAATAGCAGGAAATCAGATGTCCTTTCAACGACCAGTGCGATATCAACGTCGTCTCGCGAAGATTTTGCCAACGATGTAGACTTCAGAAGTGTTTCAATGTTTGTTTTTTAAATTTTCCTTTTACTTTTGATTTTTAGAGCGTTATTTTATGGTTTAGTTACGATTAACATTGCCGTTATTATTGCTTCTGTTTCGTTCGAAAGCAGTAAGATGGCGTGAAAATATTTACGTTTAATATAACTGTTAATGCGGACCGGAAGGGGTACATCGCGAGTTCGAGTCTCGCTCGCAGGGGGAAGTTCTGCTTGAATTCGAATGATATATCGATGTCACTGATTTTATTACGCATGAGCCAGGCTAGGATTTGGCTTGTAGCTCTAATGATTGTGGGTTAGCACTGAGGCAGTAACAATGAAAAAGAATTTTCCAAAGAATGGACACTTCTCAAGATCGGAATTGATTTTTGATGAGGGAAAATCTACGATTTTTTAATGTTTATAAATGAGTGCTCCTCCGCGCTGCAACATTCATTGAAGTTGTTAGTTGCACTGAATTGTGTTTCGAATAAACTTTGATTGATAACTATTTGCAATAAGCAAATGATTGGAGGTTGGTATGAAGAAAGAATGGATAATGAGCGAAGAGGCTCGAATGGAAAAAAAGCAGCGTGTTCAAGAGAATCGTGAACGGCGACTCACCGAAACGAAGAATCCAAACCCTCCAGTAAGATTTTAACGTTCAAATTTTGAGTAGTATTGAATTCATCCATAACATGAGAAAGACTGTAATGAACAATTGATGAAGGTCTAAAGTTATTCAGATAAAGTGCTAACAGCACGCAAACAGTGAGTGTACTTTTAAAGTATTCGTGTAAAGAAATGAATGATGAATGAAGAAATGAGTCTAAAAGTGTTTTTCAGCATCGGAGAGTGACAAAGCACAGTGACGACGAAGAAATACCTCCATCCAAAGTACCATCTTTAACAGCGTCGCAGCAGTCATCCAAACAAGAAATAACATTAGTTACAGCGAACGATTCACACTCAAATGAACCACTTCAAAATAACACATTGTACTGCATTTTCATTCGAATTCCTCTTTTACCAATCTAATTCAGCAACACTTTTATTCATTAAACATCCACAATATAGTAACAATGAATAACAAGAGCAATTAAAGGCCATCATTAAGTGGAATAGCAATGCCCACTTCAATATCGACGAGCGTTTCATTTCGTGATATGCCCACACCTGGCTCAATTGACTCGTTACCTTCACCTATGATTACCACTGCTGGTTTTAGGCCACCTCTTATTACTGATTCTACCTCTTGTTTGTTTTTTACTGTTTTATTTTTGAATTGATAGTGTTCACCTGACAATAGCGTTTGCTTATTTTACATCTCTAGATGCATTGTTAGTAGTAATGATAACTGTAATTTCAATTATATTGATGCCAGTAACGACCAATATTGTCGAAAATCAGTAATACATGTAGCAGCAATGAGGAGTAATCTAATTAGAGTAATCATTAATAATTGTAAGTTGTAAGTAAGTAATCATTAGAGTTGTAAGCATGCAAAAAATAAGTGTACTATTCAGTGAACAATTTGATATCACCAAGCAAATCGACGATATTAGAATCCCCATCAGCATTCTTATCATCATCACCGTCATCATCATCATCACATGAACAACGTTTGGTTAACCAAGTTTCACAGCAGTTGAATTATACACAGGTTGTTGCTTGTCATTTTGAGTGAATGATCAATTCTGATTGCTTTCTTATTTCATATATTTTAGATGTCTTTGATAATATCACGGACGTTTTTCTTTCATTTTATTCAGTTTTTTCATTTCTTTTTGATTCCGTTTTGTACTTCAATACTTATATTCTATGGAGTTCCATCGTTTCGTATTCTTTAAAACTAGTAATAATCAAGCTCATTTTAGTGCATTTGTAAGATGTTCATTATTTCTTCATTTCACTCCACCCACTCTCTTCTATTTCATCAATTATGTTGAGTTCATTTTCAAAGTCTTGATCTTCGCTCACATTCAATTGTCTTAATTGCTCCTTATTTTCTTCTTGAAGAGTCGTTGACTTTTCTCGTTCAGTTTTGATATTCCCAACTTGTAGGATAGAAATGTCTTGAAACCATTTTGGCTTGTTGTCTCTTCCTACACTTGAATTTACCAGTTATCCACTGATCGTGAGAGTCCACCTTTTCGAAATGAGCAGTCAGAATAAGGTGACGTCGTTCTAGGTAAATTCACCTGTCTAGTTGCATTCTGCAGCATGGAAACGTCAGTTTTTGTTGTCTAGTCGATACACTGACAATTTGAGATATAAAATTCTGCATTTGAAACTGACAATATTCTCGGTACAAAGTATTGATGTGAAAGGTTCCTAATTGAAATTACTCGAAGCTTCAATTCTTCGATCACCTCCTCCCTCAGTATCGTTCTTTCCAGCCCCAAGAATTCATCAGGGGTTGCTTTTGGTTGTTGAGTCGTTCAAATATCTGCAAGGAAACAGTATTGTTGACCCGTTTCAGAGAAATCACTGAGAGGGATCGTTTGATTTGAGTCGAATGAATGCATGCATTCAAATACATTCAAAAAAAGAAGACCAATTAATGTCAAAATAGCAATTCAAGGCAGCGCAACTAGCAGCCGTCCACCATGTCCAGCAACAGCAACACAGTAATAAAACACAATCGCCCACGACCGACTATCCACCGTGCAGTATGCTCTTATCGTCGACCGTTATTCCTCCATCATTACCTACAATACCTCCTGTTTGCATCGCGTCCAATACGAATCATTTGAATATATCACCGTTAAACGTTACCTCACAATTGACTCCTCTGAATATTATCACTCAAAATGTTATACCTCCGGCTATGCCACAACCACTTCATGTTTGTGCATATTTCTAATTAATGTTCATTTCTCAAAATAAGTGCTTTCGTTTCCGATTGAAGTCGTTGTNATGCGTGATTAATCAAAATAATCAAAATGTTCTCATATGGTGAATTCAATTGAAATGAACTAATATACTGAAAGAAGTAATGTTTTTATAGATGTTCTCTCAGTCAGACCAGTCCTTAACTAGATCATTACCAACAAATGATGATATGATTACAGTACCAAAAGAGGTGTTGATAAGACTTTTACAGTACAATAATCAATGTAATATCAATTGTACATCATTACAAAGCCCTCACATGGGTTCATCCTCACAAACATGCCTATGTACATGTTTTTGTGGAAAGTATCCGCCGGGAAAGATTATTGTTGAGGAGGTATTTTTTTATTATTACTTTATTACTCTTATTATTACTCATTGTTATTAATATCATTGTCAGTAATAATGTATCGCAATATTCATTCTTGATCACCAGAACCGCCTTTCCCACGTGCCAATGTCGCTCACTGCTGTGCTATATGTACCGACCGAGAAATACTGACCTATAGTATGAATGCTGTTCTCGAGTATGAACGAGTAATCGTTCCACAAACGTTCACAGTGATCAACGAGGGCACAGGAGTCCAATAATTACACGATTTAAATCAGGATGAGTATTTTTGTTCTTGAAGGTACGAAAGGAACTTTCGGCAGGGCCAAGCTGTTCGCAAACTCAGTCGATTGAAGCCAGAAATGAGTCATTAAAAGCAAATGCAAGTAGAGTTGATGATTGGGCTGAATGTAGCAATGCGCATAATGCTAATCGGGTACTTGATTTTATCGTTTACTTTTCCATTTGCATTGCTATTTCAAGTCACCAAGTCAATAATACATAGATAGATTTCATGTTGTATTTGTCTTTTCATTTCATTTTCTATTCTCTATTGAACACGTTCAAATTTACGTAAATGAAGCGTGAAACAATTCAAGAACTATTATCACATATGAATCTTTCAAATGATGCATTTTTCTCAGAAAACAGAAACGCACTCTTCTCGTAGATCGTCTCTCTTCAAGAGCGCCTCACTGCTCGAAGAAGAAATGAACTCTGTTCATGGTCAGTAATTTATATTCTTCCATTATTCATCATCCATTTATCACTATCAGATATAACTCAAAATATGACATCAAATGAGATGATAGCTGGAAATAATTCAGCGTTTGATGAAATTTGTTGAGCTGAGGCTGGGAGATTGATAATTGTGGCAGTTGATGTGGAATGGTAGAGGTAAGAGTGGTGGTATTTAAGAGTAGTGCGTTGAGTGGTTGATGTTAGTGTGCATGTTTTAGTGGATCCGGACTGTTGCTTGATGACATCAACAGATCAAGACCGTTTGAATGAAGTGCTTTGTGCAAACGGCGCATGGGCTGAAATAGAACCGAATTCAGTGGATGCGATGCGTCATGAAGAGGGATGTCCGTCAAAAGTTGATATGATTAATATGGCTGATGGTGCCATTCGGAGGATGATCAAAATGGTGAAACGAATGGATACCTTCAGGCGCATTGAGCATCACGATCAAATGCAGCTCTTAAAATGTATTATTTTTAATCAACTCATTTGTTCAATCAACAGTACTTATTTTGCGTTTTGTAATTGCAGACAGTTGCATGGAATATATAATTCTACGAGGCGCAATGTCCTATGATCCTGAGCAGAATGCATGGAAAGGACCAACAATGCATTCCGGTTTTAATGTTAAAATGGACGCTATGAAAGACACGAGAGATAACATGTTTGAAAGTAGTATTAGGTTGATGCTTTTAATCATATTTGCATTTCAATGATGCTTACTAGTGTTTGCAAAATCCCGACCATTTTCAGTTCCGATATTGGGGTAAAATCATGGGATCGTTTTTCAATCCTCGAACTGAAAAGCGATCATAAACAGTGGGCAAAGCAACGAAAGTCGAATCGGCAGTGATGACAATATGAAATTTTTGTTCACTGCTCTCTGAGAAACAAAAGCTATTATAAAATGATTTATTCATTGATTGCCGCTGGGCAATGAACAAAAAACGGATGAATGTGAGAATGATTAATGTCTAATTAAAGATGAACGTGTTAGCAGAATTATATAAAATACCATTTTTCATCAAATCCTGAAATCCTAGACTGTTATTTGATGATATCAAAAAGAATTTTTTTAGCTTGAAGGACATGCATTTCAGGATTAAAATTCAGGGATCACCTGCAAACACTAGTGATTAGGCTCTTCAGTAATAATAGTCATCGTGGTTTTAATGATTGTGAAGTTTAAGATTTTACGCGACCTTTAAAGAAGAATGGCGAACCAATGAAGCTGTTATGCTCTTGTTGGGAATGATTGTGATCTTCAATCCTCATTTTCCAAATCTTCACAGTGCACAAATTATCGAAAGAGAGTATGAGGCTTATAAGAAAGTTTTGAAAAGGTTTGTCGAAAGCACTTTTACTAANTACTAACCTCATTTAGTGCGAAGTGCTGATTTGCCGATGCTGCTTCAGTTGATCATATTTGTGTAATGTGATCAGTGAAGATCACATTCTTGAAAATGATTGCTGTAATAGCCAATAAGTAGCGATTTTCCGTGGAATCAGATTGTTGCTGATTGATTCATTCGGTGGAACTGATGAATTGTGTTTTAACATGCAGAATTTACAGTTGGTATGTACATTTTAGTGGTGTTCATAATTAATTGCAGGTTATTATTTACGTTGTGCGGTCAAGATGTGAAGCGTACGAATGTTGAATTTAAAGGTCTATTAGATAAAATTACATACCTCGAAACATTGAATAAACGTGCACAGCGAATGCTTCATGAGATCGATTGCAGTCAGATGGAACCACTGTTGATTGAATTGTTCAATGAATGATGATTAATGCTCATTTTTGTGGTTAATATTGCCTCTTTGTTGATTTGATCTGGTCGTGTTTCTTGACATGCTCTTCGACATTTAATGTGAGTGACCGTTTGTATCAATTTGTTCCGTGTGGAGCTTGTTTGTTCCGTCTGTTGAAAGATTATGGTAAAATATGCCGAACGATCATGCAGTAGGCATGCGTTGGTTTTTGTTTGGTGAGTCAAAGCTTGATTGACTGGAATAGATGGCGTTGTAGCACTTTTAATGGGTAGTTGATCGATTCCGGTGACTGTTCAAACTTAGTGCAAATATGTGTAGCACATTGTTCGTATTCGATTTTGGTAGATTACATTGAACGCTTTTTATTTGACTTCATATTTCGTAGTTGAGTGATTCTCACGCTCGTGAACTTCATTACCTTCTTTGATGGTCTAGCAGCTCGTTGTTATACCTCCCTGCTCGCTACAAAAACTTCCTATTTCCACGAATGCAATATTGTGAGACGATTGAAAACAACAACATGCCTTAGTATCTCATTCATGACTATGAAAACAACAATTTTCAATGTAGAATCCCACAACATTCGCCACAGCGTAATACAGATTTGTCACAAAGCGATACCTATGACATGAGGGAATTGTTACTTCATTCATTTATGAACTAAAATTACCATTGTATGCACTCATTAAAAAACTTACCAAAACTTTTCAGAGCAACTGAATAATAATTCACGAATACTCACCCTAAACCATTGATCTTTTCAGCCGCACTAAGAAATGAATCAATTCTCAGTGCTTACGAGGGACTATGTCAGCCATTATATTAAAGAACTTTGAAATGCCTCTGATTACCTCAAACTGACTTTTGTTCTGCCCGAAATGAGCTGAAGATACTCAAAAGATAAGAGAAAGAAGAGTATCGCCGTAAGCGAACCGCTTTTTGATATGTATCCATTTGAATTAACACCACAATGGTGCTCCATCATAAAAACTGCACGAAATGTCGGTTTACTAATCCTCTCAATTGCCACCTGACATCTTCGAATTACCGGTTAATTTACCCACTATGAGAACCAGTGAAAGTTTAGCTAGATCGTCTTTTTTTAGCAAGATGTTTTCCGGATGATCGTCTTCGTGTGTTGTTATGAAGCGAGTGATTATATTTTTGTCTCTTCAGTTCTTGTTATATATTTCGTTTGAAGATATTCAATCGTCATTAAATGTGATTAAATCGATTTGTGATTTATTTTTCCCACTCTAGTTTTTTGAATTTTGTTTTATTTGTTTGGAAAAATGGTTTCTCGTTGAGGAAAACTGTTATGCTTTTTGTTGTTATTAGTTACTCGACTACAGTTTTCGTTCACTTGTTTGTAAATTGTTGCTATTGTTAAGTTCGTGAGACTTGTCGTTGTTAAGTTTATTTGTTAGCAGTCATCATAATGATGTAAATCTGTGTTCGCAAGATAAATGTACATAAATATGATCATTCAGTGTGAAATTGTTTTTGATTATAAATGAATCGGTATCAGTATACATTCCATCATATAGAATGTTCACGAAGTCTCTTTCGGTTTTGTGAGTTCATAGAAATTTAGGTAATCGGAATAGTGCTCTGTGAACGTGACACATGATATGTTTGGGTATTTCGTTCCGTACATTTCCTTGAGATCAAGCTTCATTTGTTATTAAATGCGAAAACTGGCGTGTAGTTTGCAAAATATCGATGATTTTCTCAATACTGAGATCAATAATAATACCAGTATCGTTTTTCAATACCGATACGATACCGGTATTAGAAAGCAACTTTTGAAATATAGAAATGTGACCTGTTCAACACATTCTTTTTGAGCTAATGTGTTCATAATTAATCATAAAACAATTTGACTAACAAATCACTCACCAAAGCTCACGAAATTCAACAAAAAAACAAAAACAAAATGTTATAAAAAAGGTCTCACTACGCTTCCTTCCACTCAGTCCTCCAATCGTGATGGATATACTACCAAATTCACTTAAAATAAGTTGTGCTATGAATATCGGACACCACAAATCTCGAGAGTGCTATCGCTTTTCTAACACCGGTATTCGGTATTACCGGAATCACATGCAAACACTAAATACAATGTATCACCATTGATCAATGTGTACATTACTATAGTAGCATTAGGTTCCGCATCTTCAAACTTACCGTGTCCTCGGGTTTGCCCAGTAACATGGTTATTTCATCACATCGTTGGATTTCCCAGATTCTCTACTTTCAGAAATGTATTTATGTAGCCGGACGATTTTGCTTTGTTGAGGAGATATAGCTGATTCTCTGAATGTATCTCAAGCAGCTCGGCGGCGCTCGTTCCAATACAATTTATCAGCATTGACCAATGTGTACAATGCACGTGTTCCGCACGATTCAAACATTTCAAACGAGCAAGATTTTGGCCACTTTCAGTTCAACCTTAATCGCTCAACAGTTCGTGCTACGTGAGAATTTCAACGTCAACTTGAGGGGTACTCCGTACAAGAAAAACCGTTGTGGTGGGGGATCACGCAACTTGACTTCTAAAAAATGTCGAGATGATTTGATAGAATGTGGCATGATCTTGGTTATCTTTAACACATCTTTATTGCGACATAAATCATTCGCGGTTGATTTATAAT